TCAAAGTCATTCGATTTATGAGTTTTTCCCGAGTGAAAGGAAAGGGTCGAAAGTAATTCAGTCACCGCCAAATTTAATATATTACAAATTGAATGAAACAAATATTGATTCGATAACCGTTCAATTAGTTGATCAAGATCATAATCCGATTGATAATTTTGGTGAGGCATTGACAATCGTGTTACATATTAAACGTTACGGGTCTTGAGATGGGGTTGAAATTCAATATAAACCCGCCACTTCGGATCAGCACAACTAGTCATAAGATTAAAGTGCTACCAGCAACATCAAATAATATAAAAAAAATTAACGGTAAAAAATAAAAAAATTTTACAAGCTCTGATTTATCAATTAAAGCAGAATGCCTGAGAGTGATATTTTAGATATAATTTCCCAGTACGAAACGGATTCTAAAAATACGAAAATTGAATATCATTTATACACACCGTATACTACATCATTTAATAATAATGATGAAATACGTATATCAATCCAGCAAACGGATGTCTACCCATATCTACACGAAAGCTTTATTTTTTTGGAAGGAACAATTACTGATGCTACCAAAGTGAAACTATCTAATAACGGTTACTCTTACCTCTTCGAACAAATACGATTGGAAATCAATGGGATAGAAGTAGATAGCACACGTGTTCTTGGAATCACTAGCTCGTTGAAAGGTTACTTATCCGGTACGCCAGATAACTACAATTGTTATGAAAATGCTGGCTGGCATTTAAGCTTTACAAGTTAAAAGTGGTGCAACTGCTACTAAAAGTAAAGTCACCTTAAATAAAATAGTCTGGAAGGTCCCACATATAACGGTCGACGACGAAGAAAGGTTAAAATTATTGAAATTTGTAGAAAAATAAAAAGTTTATTTATTCCTTTTAGATCTTTTGAGACTTTTGAATACGTCTAATGTAATCTAATATATATCCAAATTATGAACAGTGAAACAAAGTATATGATTGAAGTATATAATGTCATAATGGACAATACAATTACAAGCATTGAGAAAAAGTTTTTAGGAAATAAAAAAATGTACACTGACTTTGCTTGTTTATCGCCAAGTAATTTTGAAGATTTACAAAAGAATAAACTTCCAGCTACTGCATTATATGAGCTCACTGATATTAAATTAAACCTTTTGAACAAACAATCACTACTGATGGCTTAAGAAGTGAACTACTTAGTTTCTCCAGAAATTGGAGGAACTTAAAAAAATCTATTCCAGAAACGTATGAAGCCTACAAAGAAGTTGAATCAGATGATGGTGATTTGCTTAGTAATGAAATAAGTACTGAAAAGTCACACTGCAAGAGTTGTATGAATTGTGCAATCTGTTGCTACTCTGTACTACACAAATACAATTTATATTGTAATGCTTATAGCAACTTGGCATAAGCTTATAAATATCTGCTAACCTTGCCGTGCTCACAGGTGCATAATATTTTTAATTTTACATTTTACTATAATATTGGATACTACTAAGTTTATTTGATATGTTTCATTTATTTACAGGTAGCTTGTGAAAGGTCTTTTTCGTTTCTAAAATGTATAAAAACTAGACTTCGTAGCACATTAAGAGAAAATAAATTAGAAGCATTTATGCTTATGGGAATAGAAAAAGACAACCTTTATGAAATAGACAAACATGAAATTATTGAATTACTGAAGTCTAAAAGCACATTACTGAAGAACAAATTATCTTACTAGTAATTATATAAATTATATTAATAATTAAAAAAAAAGATTTTTTATTATGTTGTTTTAGATACTTAACAAGCAAATATACCAAGACTAGGTTATGTTAATGTGTATATTATATTATCAGCTGTTCAAAAAAAAAAAAAATTAAAAATTTTGATTTTGAAGAAAACAAATAGTTTTTATTTTTTATTTTAATTAATTTATATTTTTAAAATGTACATACAATGAAAATTAAAAATTTTGATTTTGAAGAAAACAAATAGTTTTTATTTTTTATTTTAATTAATTTATATTTTTAAAATGTACATACAATGATATATAGTTCTACTCCTTTATGTCTGAGCTTGTGATTGGTAATTAAGTGTTAAAGCATGCAAGTTCAATAATACAAAAAGAAAACAGTTTTTTTTTTATCAAATATCAAATATTATAAACAGAACTTAATAGACCATAATATCTTCCTGAATGTTAAAAAAAAATGTGTAGTTATGTAAAAATAAAATAAATAATAATAGATGTATAAATTAATAAGTGGGCCGGTACTTTTGTATTTTCCTGGGCTGAAATTTCTCCCTGTAGTAAGGGGAAAATAAGCTGGGAACTATTTAGTTGTAAGGGGAAAATAGGCGGTAGGGGAAGGTAATGGTTATTGGGGAGAGATATGTGTGTTATAATAAATATTGGAGATTTCCGCATAATATCTCCCTACTACTGTGTTGTACCTAACTGCCTAATGATATTTGAATTACCTACTTTTATTATATAAATAATTCAAACACTTACCTAGCTGCAGCTGGTTTTCTTTTAAGTGGTTCCTTCGGGGTCGTGTTCTACAGTAGATATCACGATGACAATATATGTATATTCGTTTATGTGATCTGTAGAATTTCGTATACAATTTCTACCTGTGACTGTCACCATATGCTCTCAAAATCCCTACATTCGTAACAGGAGTACGATAGTCTCTCCGCCAACCGAATGTAATTTAAAGTGATGAATATTTGTTATTACACATTTATACCTTGAACACAGCTCTTAGAGTTCCTACATTCGTAACAATGAGTACGTATAGTCAAATCGCCGACCGATTGTAATTTAAGTTAACAGAGCACTTATTACTATACTTATATTCTAAATACAGCTCGTAGAGTTCCTACATTCGTGACAATGAGTACGTATAGTCAAATCGCCGACCGAATGCAATTTAAGTTAAAAGAGCACTTATTACTATAGTCGTGTTCTAAAATATAAATGTGAAGTAGTGATGTAACAGTGCCTATAATATGATGATAGTCACAGAACCTTATGTTTTAAAAGATCAATGGATAGGTGAGTGTAAAAGATGAACAATTTCGATTTTGCTCATAGAGAGACAACCAATTTAGACAGACATACCGGATGAAGGAATGGTTCAATATACATATATTGTATACGCATGATGAGCACTCCTTTGGACAGTAGTGGAAAAGATCGTGATGTTGACTGGCGTGGACGTTGTGCATGAGTCTTCTCCTGAAAGATACTGTCGTGGACCATGTGTATCTCCGGAATAGACACTGGCGACGAGTCGATTCTCTGTGGCCCTTATATAATATGATTTTGGTTGATCCCTTCTTCTTGTGCATCGATTAATACGTGATATTAAAGTATTGATATATTTTATTATTTTGTGCGGTGCGACAAAGGTATTGCTGGTAATTTATGGTTTTGTTTTGACCGAACGTCTTGATTGGAGAATTATCGAAGGGGACTTGAAGTATATAATATGTATATATATCAGTAGTGGTTTTTTGAATTTTTTGCGGGGGGGGGGGGTCCTTTAATATTATCTTATAATGTATAAAGACAAAAAAGTTTAACCCATGAATAATTACTAAATAAAATTTAATTCTTACATAAAAAAAAAAAAACAGCATTTTAGTTACAACTACCTATTATAACACAAAATCAATTTTTCGTTTTTTTTTTTACTAATTCGTCCAAAACTTCCTCAGCCGTTAATTGTAAATCCTTATGTATACACATCATAGCCAGACCATTTAATCTTTTCTGAAATATTTAATAAGCAAATTATATTTAATATTGTAAAATATGAATTATGATTTCCTTTATTACTTACTTCTTCAATGGTGTTCCTCAAATAAGTTTTTATTCTTTTAAGATTTGAAAAAGTATGTTCATTAGATGATGTTGAAACTGGTAATGTGGCTAGTATTTGAAGAAGTTTGTATATATTAGGATAAATTTCATTATTACAAAACGATAAAGCTTAGAGTGCATTAGTTGGCTCTTCGCTCAAATTTTTTAAGCACCTTTGCCACAATTTGTATTCAGCCATCAAAATTGCATGGTTTCCATTTTCCAGATCATCTTTTTAATAATTAACCAATGTCATAAAGTCGTCATCTAATTCTTCTTTCGAAATTAAAGAATGAAAAGAGTTTAATGTAGTTTCGTGATCAATAAATCTTTCTTTTAGTTCATTAGCAAATGACTCCAGATATGATATAAATACAGATACACGATAATATTCCTCTGCCGATGTTGTATTTATATTAACTCTTAGGGTCTGTCTATTTGATGTTCTTGGAACCTTTATGACTACTTCAAATTTATCAGCAATCTTAAACGCTTCTTTAAAAATGTTTTCAAATTTATTTTCTGCATCATTTCTATAAGCCTGTACTTCCTGGTATGTCTCATGAGCTAACTTCACAGCTAATCTTAAATATATATTAATTTTTTGAAGCTGTTTCGATAACGGTAGTCCAAATCCAAATCCTTTAGTTAAAACTATTAAAGAAATAATAAATTCTCCATTCAAAATTGAATTTCGTAGACACTGTGCTTTCCCACTTGTATCACTGTCTCCCTATGTTGAAATATCATGTAAGGACTCTACAACAAAATCGTAAAGTTCTAAAAAATCATTAACTGAGTGATACCTTTCGATCCATCGAGTTTCGCAACAGCGCTTCAGTGTTTTTTTTCAAGGGATTGTCTGGAGAATTTTCAATTTTTTGTGTGAGAACTGATTTTCTTTTTGAATTCACAAAAAAATCCCGTGTTTTACTTATTACCCCAAGACAATTTCTTATAGGTTGGAGAGAACATGATTTAGATACGACAAGATTTAATAAGTGAGCAGACCAGTGTACATATATTGCAAAAGAGTACAATTTTTTTATGTGCGCTTGTACACCCTTATATCTTCCCGACATTGCTGCAGCGCCATCATATCCTTGGCCACGAAGATATTTTAGTTCTACTCCAAACGTACTAAAATTTTATAAAATTAAATTTGCTAGTCCTTTTCCTGTAGTATCATTTGTTGGTATAAATTGAAGAAAATCTTCAAGGAGTTCTAATTTGTCTAAGTCGACATATCTGAAGCACAAGGAAACTTGTTCCATTCCGGAAATTTCAGATGTCACGTCAGAAAGTACTGCGAAACACTTTACCTTATTTACTGATGATACAACTTTACTGAGTAAAACTGAGTTACAAGAATCTATGATAGCGTTTTGGCTAGTGTTACTTAAATATTTAACTTTTCTTTCACTTTCTAGAATTGACCTTAATACATAGTCTCCCTGTGCTCGATAACGAATAATTTGACGAAAATTGCCTTGATTATTTTGTAGATTATCATCAACATGTAAGCGTCCCCAGACAATGTGTCCTCTTATAGGCATATTTTGACGCCCACACAACATTATGGCTTCAATGATGGGTTTAATAATTTGTCGATTTTCTAAAACTTGTTTCATTCTTTCGGTTTGTATCATGTTGATAATAGATGTTTCGGGGTTTTTTAACTCGTTAGAAAAATTGCTTGCATCGGATGAACATTGTTTGTGATATGCAAGAGAAGAATGTTTATTAAAATTTTCAACTGCATGTTTCCAATTATCAAATTTTTTTAGTACTAAGCTTCCTAATAATTGAGAATTTGTTCCACCTTCGTTTTTGGAAAATGCTACACAAAACTTACAAAATGCACCATTTTCTACTGCCGAGTATGCCAACCAAGAATATCGCACCAACCAAGAATATTGAAATTTAAGATTTTTTTCCTTCTTTTCCTTTCCACAAATATAAGTTTTTGAAGGAAAATTAAATTGAACGTCAGGTTTCCAGAGATTATTTAAAACATTTATTATATCATTTTGATCAAGTTTTTTATTTTTGTAGAAACTTATATCAAATGGAGACGTAGAGATCAGTGCAGGAGAATCCAAATGAATTTTTTTAAGATTAGTAGAAACATATGATAGCTGAGAAGCAGATCTTTTATTTGTTGATAGTTTCTCTTTCTCATTAACGTGTGACAAATTCGCCATATTATCTGAAGATTTCAAATTGTCATTTGTTGGTATTATTTTGAAGAAATGTGTTAAAGATTTTGGGTTTTTATTTGACATAATTCAATCGATTTTAAACTTTAATCTATAACCATAAATATAATCTATAAGCAATCTTATTTAATTAAACACTGATCTAACAAAATAAAAATAATATAATTATTAATAATACTCAATACACGGTGGTTGGTGACTAACCATTTATGTATTATTTAATATACCAATCAGTGCCGTAGCGTGGGTTTAAATTTAATATATGCGTTAAAAATGGCAAGTTAATAATACTCAAAATAATACCAAAACAAATAATACCATCAAGTAACAACAAAATGTAATTTATAATTTTAAGTTATTATAACTCGATCGTTGCTTTAATTGAATTTTAATTTTTTCATTTAAAAATATACCCATACGTTTTACAACTGAAAGTGTAAGAAACACGTACGTGAAGTTGGCCCTTCAACTATGTTAAAACATTTTGAAACTTATGCTCAGAGTTAGCAAGTAGTTTGCAAGAATTTGCAAGACTATTTTTAGAATTTGCAAGTTAAAATTATGGAAGTTATCGGAAATAATGATACTGCAGGGCCAACTTCACGCAGCCCTTCAAAGTCAACCCAGAAACTCCAAACCGGTATTAAAACATTTCCTACAGTTAGCAAGAGTTTGCAAGTCCATTATCAGAGTTTGCAAGTAAGGTATTCGGCCAGGGCGAGCTTTCAAAGTTTTGTGCCCGGCCCTTCAAAGTCAACCCAGAAACTCCAAACCGGTATTAAAACATTTCCTACAGTTAGCAAGAGTTTGCAAGTCCATTATCAGAGTTTGCAAGTAAGTTCATTGGCCAGGGCGAGCTTTCAAAGTTTTGTGCCCGGCCCTTCAAAGTCAACCCTGAAACTCCAAACCGGTATTAAAACATTTCCTACAGTTAGCAAGAGTTTGCAAGTCCATTATCAGAGTTTGCAAGTAAGTTATTCGGCCAGGACGAGCTTTCAAAGTTTTGCGCCTGGTCGTTCAAAAACACAGAAACTCTAAAGAAACGCTGTAAATTACATCCCATTCTTTATTTTTTATGCAAATTGCGGCCCGGGTATATTTTGTACATACGTAAATTTTGGCCTGGGTATATTTTGGCGCTGGTAGTTAGCAAATAGTTAGCAAATAATAGCAAATCTATTTTTGAAGTTAGCAAATCAAAATTCTATTTTTGGCAGATTTTAGAAAAAAACCCAAATGATCTTGAGGGCCACTTTGTAAATACATCACAATCCTGCGGGCCACATATAGGGTTGCCAAAAAAAAAGGTCATCAGCCAAAATATTAAAAAATATTAATATAAATAATCACATATTTTATTGAAAATTAGGCCACATATAAAATATAAAAGTATTTAAAAAAAATTAAAATATATAAACGTATTATAATAAAAGTATTGAATACAAAAAACATTACTATTTAGTGAGATATTTGTTTCTCAACTCGTTCACTAAGCTTTTTCAAATCAATAGAAATGCTTGTATTTGCACACCGTAATTGATGTAGCAGGTTTTCATCTGTTAGGTTTGTGCGTGATTTATCTTTGGCGAATTTAATTTTCGAAAAAAAACGATTAACACGTGTAAGTCGATCCAAAAGCACTCACAACTTTTTGTGCCAGATTTCTCAAATTGGGAAAATGTTCTTTTGTGATATTAATATTATAAAAATCTATTTTTGATTTTGATGTTTCAAAAATGAGTTTTAATTCATTATTGCATTGTAAGTCAATGAGTTCCATCTGAAGATATTCTGGGGCCGAATTGACATCAGTATGAAAAGGAGATGAATATATTTCTAATATTGTCTTGTATTTGTCTAAATTAGTGAAACGACTTTCAAAAGCAGCTATAAGTTTCCTTATTTCTTGTGCATATTTAATGCTATCGATATGTTCAGAATTTTGCAATTCGTTTAGCAATGGAAAGTGTTGAACGTTATTATTTTTTAATTGAAATTCAAATAACAATAATTTCTTCTGAAATGCATTGATGTAATTACATGAGTCAATTATTAAATTATCTTTTCCCTGTAATGATATATTTAATTGGTTCAGTTTTTCGACAATATCCACTAAAAAGCATAAATGTAATAACCATTCATCATTACTTATTATTATAGAATTATTACTTTTGTTGCGATTACGTTGTTAATAATACAGATACCGCGTTGCACGGGCATTCCAGAATATTCTATCAGCGCAAAAATATTTTTTTTGTAAATATTTGATAAATGTCGCGGGCCGCAAAACTTTCCAAGGCGGGTTGGCCATCCCTGGTCTATGCAGTATTGCAGTCCTATGAGAGTAAAAAATGTGGATTCAATTCTGAATGCGTAGAAAAAAGTTTTTTTTGCATATTTGAGAATATTTCATGGGTTAGAGAATATTTAACCCATTTAGCATATTTTGGAATATTTCGTAAATTGTGGGAAAAAAATTTGTATTTATTTTTAATTTTAATATTTTGATACCCAGAAAAACATTTTTTGAACATTAAACATTTTTTTTTTTATAATTTCCAACTTTTACTAAAGTGCAATAGTACTCCATTAGAATACGCAACTTTTAATACCTAATTAATACCTCACTATAAAAATAATGTTGAAAAAAAAATTGTTAAATGCATATTATAGCATATAATGATGTTTATTGATTATTTTCGCATATTATTTTATGCATATTGTAGCATATTTCTTGAATTTTTAAGAGAATATAATAAGAATATTTGAAGGTTTTTCAGAGAATATTAGCATCATATTTTAGGTATTTTAAGAGAATATAAATCCGGTCTTTAATTATCACTATTATTTTTATGTATCTGGCCGGTACAATATGCATTAATATGCATTTTTATATATACATATTATCACCGTCTATTCGAATTATTATTATTATTATTGCCGTTATTATTACGCCCGTCTGAGCTTTCTCGGCACCAACTTAATATAACAAGCTCTATACACCTTATTTTGTCTATTGAGTTTTTTATTATTATTATTATTATTATTATTACTGTGTCACTAATGTGTCCATCCTTTTAGAATATCATTATATTACTATGGTAAAAAAAAAAAGAAAAGAAAAGAAATCCACGACGCTCTGGCCCTTCAGGTCTCGGCTCGTGGTTGGTGGCCTTGCCCAAACCGTCGGGTAACCACATGACTCTCGAGCCATGAGTAATATGTCTCGAGTTGTCACAACATGTCAATTGATCGAAAACAATTGATCGCACGAGAATTGCTCGAAAACTTTTGATCGAAAAACAATTGCTCGCAAAACTAAAAATTATTATTGTTATTTTATTGATATCTTATATTTTTTTAAAAAAAAGGAAAATTATAGGCTATTCCACGTAGATATCTAGAATGAATAGATCATTATAATCAGTGCAAATAGTTTAAAAATTGTTCTAATATTTCTTCATTTTCTGTATAATAATTACTTTCAATTAAAACACTGTATGAACTTATTACATCATCCTTATAGGTACAAATGCTAAAGCTGGTAACATTCTTAATTGCAATGCAAATTTAGGGTCTTCATTGGTCTATTATTAAAAGGTCTATGATTATAATATTACATTATTACTTATTCGGGTTATCGCGTTATTGAGCAACCAATTTGTTTTTTGCGAACAATTATTCTTCGATCAATTGTCGTTTGCGAGCAATTGTTTTTTGATCAAAAGTTTTCGAGCAATTCTCGTGCGATCAATTGTTTTCGATCAATTGACGGGATACCATTTGTAAACAACATAATGTTATAATTTTTAACTCAATCTGCTTGAGTAACGTACATAAGCCTTTTTTTACGGAGGAGGGTGTGGTTACAATAATATTTTTATATCTATATAAGATTTGACCATGTTATAAATAGTATTAACTATACCTTCTTCACTTTCACGAACTTCATGTCCGTGTATTATTTGGCTGTAATAATACAATATTATTATTAGTGAAATAAACGTATTGTGTTTTTTTACCACCTCAACCCAAACCAACACTACGACCGGATCATGATCAACCAGTGTTCAATCATCGTGTGTGCATCACACTCTGTACTCTGTAGTCTGTGTTTTTAACACAATTTATGTCTTCTGGTATCATCACATATCGTGGTTACTGCTAATAAGATAAACACGACAAATGTAAATCTAATAACGGACTAAGATATTATACAAGATTATGGAACACAAATAATATTTGTTAGGGACTTCAGCACTTGGGCTAAATACATGACTATAACATAACCTAACCTAGACAGAATGTTAGATGGTGTGGGGCACTGGTGCACAAATCTTACGGTTGGGTGGAGTACGGGGGCATTTTAGACACTGCGTTAAGTCTTTAGTGGATATTATCATAGACTATAATATATTAATAATTAATAT